TTTGTCTTTTGTTTTCTCGTTTTTCTTTTGTTTTCTCATTTTTCTTTTGTTGTTTTCTCGGTTTTCTTTTCTTAGGAATATGTGCAGTGGCCCTAAGGGCCTCTACTCACCACATGCTGAAAGTCCTTCCACGATTCAGACCCCAAATTCGGGTCTCAGGGTCAGAGGCCCTGTCCAAGAAAGGTCTGAGTTAGTCAATTTCAGAAAGGTCATAGTCGGGTACCTTAGCAGTCCAGTCCAACAGGCACCCAACAAACAGTCACATCTTAGGGTCAAAAATCACGTTTCATAATGAAAAGTCATATTGAAGAGTCACATCCCACGAGTAAACGGCAGTTCCACAGGTCAGATTCGTGTCCTAGTGGCAAAGAGTCACAGTCCACAGTCAAAATCATATGCCAAAATCGAAAAGTCATAACTCAAAGGCCTAAGCAGCAGCAAACCAATGGAAATTCGGGAAGGTTCCAAGCCTTATTTGAAAGCACACAGGCCGTCGGCCTCTACTCACCACATGCACAAAAGACAAAACATATGGCGGTGTATTATTCCACGTTCTAGCAGAAGATCCGTTTTTTTTTTTTTTTTTTTTTTCCTGAAAGCCCAGGGTGTTGTAGAGGCCAAGGACCACACCCGCAGTGATTGCTGGTAGCAACAACCAATGGTTGTCCTGACAGGACAGGCCACCTACCCCAATCATCCCCACGTTAATACTCCCCACGCACCCCATGTCCCTACTATCCTACCTCAGTGTGACCAGCACCCAGGACCATCACCCTACCACTATTGAGGGCAACTTGGACCACACAGTAGTGACAAGCACCAGAGCTGGGCCAACCTCCCAACCCTAATGGAAGCGGAAGTGGACGAACTTTATCGTACGGGAACTTCGGACGCCAGGCTCATGCAATCTTCTGCAGGCCCAATTCAGAGATTCTACCCAGCAGGATTACCTAAGCAAGGCAAGTCAGCGTCCGCGGACACATCCTACCATCTTCCCCTAGCTTACCCAAGGCTAGGCGGAACTCAAACTAGCTGGAGCGACTTATATCCCTATCCTACCCTAGAGCTAAGCCATGCATGTGTAGACCCCGTCATGCACATTTGGTGAGTACTGTAGCCAAACCCTGAGAAATCTGCCCCCACATCCCCCAACCCCCAGTGCCCCCACCCCCCAAAATCTGCCCCCACATCCGACATCCCCCATCCCCCAACCCCAACCGCCCCCAGTTGTGTGTTTTTTTGTGTGTTTGTGTGTTTGTGTGTGGTGTGTGTGTGTGTGTGTGTGTGTGTCTTTATGTGTGTTTGTGTGTGTTGTGTGTCTATGTGTGTGTGTTGTGTGTCTATGTGTGTGTGTTTATGCGTTTGTGTGTGTTGTCTGTCTGTCTGACTGTGTGTCTGTGTGTGTCTGCGTGTCTTTTTTTTCTTTTTTTTAGTTGTTTTTTATGGTTTTTATTGTTTTTTAAAATACACGAAGTTAAAAATAAAAATTAAAAAATATTTTTTTACACCTTTGAAAGATCTACAACCCTATATTTTTTATTTGTTCCTCTCTTTTTTTTAGCCCTTAAAAAATCTTTGTGAAACCCAAAAAAAAAAACACTCGTTTCACTTTTTGTTTTTGTTTTTTTTAGTGTGTTTATGTTTTTGATTTTTTTTAAATATGCTCAAACATCAAAACATAAAAATAAAAATATGGGGTTGTAGTCCTCGAAAAGGCCTACAACCCCATATATTTTTTTGCTTTTTTATATTATGTTTAGGCCAGGGAAAAAAATAATTGTGGACCCCGTTTATTCGTGTCTCACGAGCATTTAAACGGGATTCGACGTGAATTCAACGCACGTGGAATAATTCAACGTGGAACCCGCATTGAATCGAAAATCGGACACATAGGATAATGGGCCTTGTGGTGAAGGGTCGGCCTGTACGGCAGAAATATGGCACAACCGTGGTGGAGATGGTGGCTCCATAGCAGCAAGTCTTGGCCCAATAGGGTTGAGAGGATTTTGTTGGATGACTGCAACTAGCGTCTGAAGGAGTTGGAGGATCGGAACTACAACCATGGTGATGATTGGTGGCTTATCTGGTATCTGATGATGTCTTTGGTCCCAACGGTTTGCGAACGAACAWTACTAGAACAACATTGGTCGATGCTAGGGTTTGGTCGCACTGCCCTGTAACTCAAGTTGTACGGTGTTGGAACCTTTGGTTCTCGGATTGAGTCCCGGTCGTGAGACAGGTCATATGACAAGGACGTGCACGATAGAGGAATCGAGAAGAAGGAGACAAGGGACAATGAAAAGGGCAAACAAATGACTAAGGCGAGACCACTGATGCTCAGAGTCCCAAAACGGAACTTAGAATGTCGGGATCAGAAACCCAAGATGACACCCGAGGTCAATAGGATGCAGAGACGAAGGAAGAAAGCGCCGCCAGACCACAAAAACGTGGATTGGACTAAGGAAAAAAAACAATGAACGAAGAAAGAGATAGTTTGAGAGAATTTTGAGAAAGAACCAACAAAGACAGTATTTCGTGCAATCACAAGAACCCAGAAAAGAATGGGTAAACAGAAACAAAACGACGTCGTTCCAAACCTAGAATGATCAGAATGACAGTGTCCACAATACATTGAATCTCCCCTGGATGTATCTCATCTCAAGCTTAGTCATGATCCATCCAAGGGGTAGGGGTCCAGCGTTTTAAAAACGCTGGCCCCTCAGGTGCAGCAAAATTTAGACGAGTTTTCGGGCAAAAGAGTTGAAAAAACTCAATTTCAATTTCGTTAAAAAAACAAAAAAATGTTCATTTTGACGAAATGGTAGTTAAAGGGGGTAAAAAATACGATAATGAGTCTCAATTTTGGAACTTCTAGGGCTTGAAATTGAGAAGGGACCCAAGGGAGATGCAACGGATCACAAGGGATTTAATTTTGGAGCGCCTAGATACACTAGATCTTAAAAATGAGGTCCTAGTGTGATCTAGAATAAAACGGTCAGCAAAGGTAATGAGAAAAAAACCTAGAGGGAGAATGAGAGAGGCAGGAAAGTGTGAGAGGAAAAAAAAGACAAGCCGCCATATCATGGTTCACTTGCCCCTTCACAAAGGATGTCTAAGTGCCTTGAACAAACCTGCATCAAGTCTAGATGCAGTTGGGACAAAATCAACCAAAAACAAACATTTAGAGGTCAAGGAAAACACATGTTTTAGGTAGATCTTGTGACCAAATTCACCCGGGGATGAATCGGCCACAAAGGTTGGGGAAAAGGGGGCTTCAGATGCAATGAACCCAAAACTAAAGCTCCTAGAAACCGCCAGCTCACAAACGAAAAAAAATGGATACCTGTGGTAAAAGAAAACACATATTCTAGGTACAGTTTGTGACCGAATTCACACTAGGATTAAACGGTTATAAAATGTTTTGGTTTTTCTTTATTTTTTGTTCCAGAAAATCAAGAAAAATTCATAGGGAAGTAGGCAGTGATGCAACGGATCACAAAAAGTAAAACAAACATTTGTTTCAAGTACATCTGGAGCCAATATTAAGTCCGGGTGCACTTCAAAATTTATCGCTCCATTTTGTTTCAGTTTGAGGCAAGTTTAGAGGCAATGAGACTAGAAAATGGTCATTGTTGCACACAGATAATTAACGGACTGCAATGGGATGCCATGGTCAAGGAAAAACGAGCCTTGGCATCCTCTAGAGACTACAAAGAGGTGCCTCAAGTATGAGAGTAAACGGGTACGGTAAGTAACAATTATGCAATAAAGATCTAGCGACCAAAAATATTCGACACAATTGAGACACATGAAAAGAAACAAATTAAGACTGAAGGTGTTGCATACTTCAATGAGTATGGGCAGAACCAAAGATCAACCAATGTAGGATGACCATATATGCAGCGGAAGTCTGATAAACGGACTGACTCACAGAGACTGACTCACATAGCATCACTCCACACACATACAATCGTAAGATGGTGGGGTCTAGGCCGTTCATAGACGATGCCCAGATCCCGTACATGCATTCACAGATGAAAGGTGGGAGGACAGACGAAGGAGGTGGGGAGGTAGACAACACCGAAAGTCACCGAGGTAGAATCTGATAGGTCACTGATATGGTAGTCCAAAATGTCATCCAACAAGATCAAGATGTCGAGGACCATAGGTCACCAATGTCGGGGATACAGAGTCCAAATGTCACCGGTGTCCGAACTGTGATGTCGCCAACTATCAACCCCAACGATCTCCAAGTCTCCAATCCGGTAAGTACCACAGTCTCATATCACCGAAGTCCAACTCTGATCTCTGTCCAACTAGTATAAGTCTCTAGTCGGAAGGAGAAGAAGAAGAAGAAGAAGAAGAAGAAGAAGAAGAAAAAGAAGAAGAAGAAGAAGAAGAAGGAGGAGGAGGAGAAGGGAGAGAGAGAGAGAGAGAGCTGACGAGGGAGGGAGTAGAGGTCCTCCGCTCCCAGGTACCTCAGGCGGCAATGGCCGCCGTGCTGGCTCAGTCGCCCTGCTGCTGCTCCGCTTGCCGCTGCGCTGCCGCTGCTGCTCCTTGCTCGCTCCTGCGCTAAACTTAGCGCATCAAAACAACGCTCTGGCGCTGACCATAACGCACCGGTAGAGTGTCGGTGGTTCGATGCCTCGAAGTGAGGCCGGACCAGTACTAAGTACTGGTTCGAAGAGGACCGGCCTCACTGCTGCGAGGCCTTGGTTGGGGCTGAACAGTCCAGATCGACGATTCAGGTCCAACCGGAGAGCGGCAGCCTCAAACGGCGCCGTCAGGCCCAAAGACGAAATGTCATTTGGGCCTGGTCCGTAGTCGGGTCTAAGTCGTGGCCTTTCCGCCTGTTCCCCCAAGCTCGGGCCTTTAGGCCCTGATGTGTCCCTCTAGCCCTAAGTCGGGTCCGGTAGGACCCGTGTGGCGTCGAAGATGTAACACACTCCCCCTCTTAAAAGACCGAGCTACCTGCGAGGGCGAAGTTGTCTGTCCGATACAGGGGTGGGTCGGGCGGGACGAGCTGCGTCCTTAGCAAGGCGTCGCTTCTCATAGTCGGCGAAGATAAGGGGTGCAGAAGTCTGCAAATCTATACTGGAGATCCACCGAGTGTCATCAGGCGCACATTGTTTGAATGCGACTTTGTATTGCCTTGGCTTGTTGCCATACTTGCGGTGCGTCGTGACTCGGTCCACTTCCTGATGTCCGTCCATGGAGGGCGGATCATGTGATCGACGTCCGGGAAACTCGTCATTTGAAGGTGGCGTGTAGATGGCCAGCTTCGATGCGTGGAAGACCCGATGCACTGTCAGGTGCGGTGGAATGTTGATCACGAAGGAAGSACCTGYGGGATCGTCTCCAACGGCAGAAGTGACTTCCCATGGTCCGAACCATTTCGGAAGGAGTTTGCGCGAAACGTCCTGCTCGAGYGCAAATTCCTCGGAGAGGACCCAAACAAGGTCTCCCTCRCGGAAAGGACATGGAARTCRACGTCRGTTAGCTTGCTGCTGCATGCGGATCTGAGCCTTTTGCATATTTGTGCGGGCTTTGATCAGCAAGTCCCGGTACTTCCGGACGAAAGCGGGAGAGCAAGGGACGTCTTTGTCGGCAGCCTGTGGCAAAAGGAGATCAGCGAAGATCCGTGCTTTCTCTCCACCATGATGTAACATGAATGGTGTGACGCAGATCGCTGGGTGCATCGAAGTGTTATAGGCGAAATCGATGTCGGGAAGCCGGTCAACCCAATCTTTCTGGTCGGGACGGATGAGCGTACGCAACATCATCTGAGCGGTCTGGTGCGCTCGTTCCGTCTGACCATCCGTCTGCGGGTGCCGAGCCGAGCTCGGTTTCATTGTCATACCGGACTCAGCCATGAGGGAAGCCCAAAAGGCTGACATGAAACGAGTATCTCGGTCGCTCACTATGTCTTCCGGAACACCTTGGTTGGTAATCCAACCGGTGTGCAAGAGTCGTGCGAGCTCAGGCGCTCCAACATAATACTTGCTACGAAGGAAGCGAGCATACTTGCTCAAACGGTCAACGACCGTGAGAATACCGTCATGGCCGTGGCGATCGCGGGGAAACGGGTCTGTCACGTCCATAGCAACGGAGAGGCATGGTGCCCGAGGAATCGGCAACGGTTTCAGTTCGCCGAAGGGGACTCGAGATCGACCCTTGTTTCGGTGGCAAACTGCACATGAGTCAATGTACCTCGTGACGTCATGAAGGACGTCGGGCCAGTGAAAACGTTGGCAGAGGCGTGCTAGTGTGCGGTTCACGCCAAGGTGTGCCGAAAGTCGTGCGTCGTGGAATTCGCCGAGAAGACGAGTCCGTAAGATGCGATCTTGGGGCACAACTAACAAGTCCTTTCCTCTCGTGTGAAGGAGAAGGAACCCGTCGGAAATCCGATAGTGGCTAGCCGGCGGGTGATCCGATGAAAGCTCTGCGTAAAGCTGAGAGTAAGTCGGATCGGACTTGTAGCCTTTGACGAAATGCGGCTGCAGATCGTCATCGAGGTCGAATGCCGTGGTCACAATGGCACAAAAGTCGGGCCGTCGTGAGAGAGCATCCGCAGCTCGATTTGCGGGTCCGGGAATGTGGCACGGGTCAAAATCGAACTGGTCGATGTAATACATCCATCGACCGATCGTGCTAGTGACCGTGTCTTGCGTTTTATAAAAGGTCAACGGATTGCTGTCCGTATTCCATTTGAAACGCCGACGGCCGAGAAGAAAGTGGCGCCGCCGTTTGAGAATGGTGATGAACGCGAGTAGCTCTTTCTTCCTAGCGTCGTCAAGAGTGTTGACGAGAGACACCTTTTGGGAGAAATACTCAACCGGATGCCAACCGGCCTCGTGACACTGTTCCAACACCGCACCAATACCGTATCCCGAAGCGTCCGTAGTCACTTGGGTGGGTAGGGTGGGGTCGTATATACGGAGGGCAGGTGCGGCTTGCATCGCTGCCTTGAACGTAGTGAACGCGCCACGGGCTGCGTCGTCGAACTCGAAGGGCACCTTCGGGGACTGAAGTCTTGAGAAAGGAGCGGCCACTTTCGAGTATGACTCGACGAATCGCTGATAATATCCAGCCAAACCCATGAAAGAGCGTACATCCGTCGTGCAACGGGTTTCCAGCCAATCCACGATGGCTTGGATCTTGTCCGCTAAGGGACGAATGCCTTTCAGCGTGACAAAATGACCCAAGTACTCAAGCTCTTGCTTGGCGAATTCGCACTTGTCGAGATTCGTTTTGTACTTGGCTAGTCGCAAATGATTCAGAACAACGCGAAGGTGTACGATGTGCTCGTCCAACGTCCTACTATAAACCAAGATGTCATCAAGGTAGATAAGGACGCTGCGATCGAGTAAGTTGCGAAACTCAGTCGTCATTGCTGCTTGAAAAGTTGCGGGGGCATTGGTGAGGCCAAAGGGCATGACAACCCACTCAAAATGTCCGTACCACGTCTTGAACGCGGTCTTGTACCGGTCTTGAGGCTGGATTTCAATCTGGTGGTAACCTGACTTCAAGTCCAACTTYGAGAAGTACGTCGCGCCGCCTAACCGCTCAAGGAGATCATCAATCCGAGGGAGAGGGTCGGCGTTCTTTACGGTTTGTGCGTTAAGTTTTCGATAGTCGATGCATAACTGTAGATCTTTGTTCTTCTTCCGGATGAAGAGAACAGGTGCACCGTATGGCGAGCAACTAGGGCGAATCCAGCCCTTGTCGAGAAGGTCATCGAGCTGTGCGCGAAGCACCTCGAGTTTCTCTTCGCTCATGCGGTAGATACATCCACGCGGAGGGACGACGCCAGCCTCGAGAGTGATCCCGTGACGTATGGGCCGATCCGGAACCGTTCCGGTGGGAGCCTCGAAGACGTCTCTATACTCGTCCAAGAGGTGAGAAATGCGTGGGTCCGGCGGTGACGAGGCTGGTCCGTCCGGCGAGGGGAGAGCATGTAAGAATACAAGGCCCATCTCCTCGACGTCATTCCGAGCAATGGCGTCGCGAATTCTCGCAACGGAAACCACGTGACAAGCAATCGAAGTGTGAGGGGTCGCGACCGTACATGGGACTAACACTCCGTTCCGATCACGGATGTGAACGGTTCGGTCATGGAAGTTCACCGGATGATCAGCGCTACGCAACCAAGACATGCCTAGAATCATGTCGAACTTGGTGTCGAGGATGTCAAAAGACATCAGCTCGCACGCAAGTGGCGCAAAGTAGACCGGAATGCCGTCAACGCATCGGTCAATTGACTTTTGCGTGCGGCCGTCCGCGAGTGTAACTTGCGTAGGTTGCGTCTTCCTTCGAACGCGCGGGCGCGGGCCATAAAGGCTTGGCTCATAAAGTTGCGAGACGCTCCGCAATCAATCAAGGCACTACAGGTTGCCTTTCCGATTTGAATGCGGATATAGAGCAAAGGTGCGTCGGTT